ATTGTGGCTTAACAGGCTAATCTAACCAGTAAAACTGTGCAGATTCTATAATACTATATTCCCTGCTAGGCAAGGGATTTAATATATAACATTGAAAAATGCCTTAAAAGGAAAACCTAAATTCAAATACTGAATCTAAAAAGGCTTCAAAATATTCATATTTTGACATCTTAATAGAAGTGCCAGTTTACAGAAGTGATGGAGTTATCAAAGTACATCACACATCTGTGCTGTCAAGCTGATCTACTTAAGAATCTGAAATAATGGTAGTTTGTTATACAGAGAACAGTTCTGATTAAGGGTGAAAAAAAAGAGTTCCTAGTTCAATTGGATCTTTTACACTACTGTAGAACAGGGTGAGAAGTACCACTAACTAACTAATCTTAACACTTCTCAATTCAGAGAGTTCCTAGGTGGCAAGATCACTTTTTACCAAGAGGATGGGGTATCCAGCTCAGACTCTGTGGGTAAGTTTTACTAGGGTAACATGCACAACAGACCTGGGAGCAATTTTTGTTATTTAATATCGCAGAACAAATGTTCTCTTCCAACATTACTCACTGTCCTGTCTTGAATACTGAGTTACTTACCAACAGACTTATCTGCCATGCCCACATCTCTGGAAGTCCAGCGGCAAAATCCACAGGCCAGGTAATATGCTTTCTTCATTGTAGTCTTGGCTGGGTCATCAGGAAGTGGAGCAGGAATGCTTGTCGCCCTGGTGGAAAGTGTGTGCATGCAGCATGGGCAGTCAAAACAGTTAGCACACCTGTCAAAGACAAGGGAAAGTCATGAGATCGAAGGATCCTTGACAGAACTCTAGTGTTACATAAGAGTCTTAGAGAAATGTTCTTAAAGAACTAAAATGTGCCTTTCTGGTCTCACACAGCAGCTTTAGAAGACACTATGCTTATATAGATTTAATAAGGGAAGAAACAGGATTTCATAAAGTCAGCCAAAGGGTGGACAGAATGAGCTGGTAACACTGAAAAACAGGTTCTTACCCACGAAAGCTTATGCTCCCAATACTTCTGTTAGTCTTAAAGGTGCCACAGGACCCTCTGTTGCTTTTTACAGATCCAGACTAACACGGCGACCCCTCTAGTACTAGGGATGTAAGTTCATTCCAAAGCAGATGAACAAAATATTATTATAGTGCCAAAAATTATACATAGCCCTTCACAGTGAGACACATTCCCTGTCCACAAGGGATCACAATGTAAATAAGACAAAATTTAGGATAACAGTTCAGGAGGGAGACTGAGAAACTCAGGCATTATGGTGATGGGGCCGAACAGTACCTAGATGGGTCAGGGGATTATTAATGCTGGAGAAAAGATTGCTCAAAGTAAGGAGCTTTAAAAAGGAGAGATTTAAAGGAGGAGACATTGCAGTACAGAAGAAGCCAATCTTACCTATTCTTCTTCAGCTTAGCTTCAGCTGATGGCATATTTTCTAGGCAACTGGGACAATAGTGAGAGTCCACCTGGTGAACAATAGACAAAGAAGTCACTTCATCTCTCATGATGTGTGTATTTCTGGCCAGGACAGCAGCAGCAGCTGAAACACTTTGCT